CCGCTGAAACCCGGTTATGCAACGTCTGAAGAATACGGCGGTTGCTTATAGGGCCTCCTATTCGGCTTTTAGAGGGTGGCTTTGACCACCTGTGCAACTTGGGCTTTGTCACGGTCGTGATGAAGCACGGTTTGGCCTCGTCGATGGGATCATTTAAGTCAATTAGCATCTTTCACGCGATGTCGCTGAGCTATGTAGCTACTTGTTGACAGAGGCATTCCTTTTAGGCAGCTCCAGCGCACTGAATTCCTTTGAGACGCTCTTCGTCGACTTCGGAAAGTGTTCCGGTGTCGAACATTGATTTTTCCTTACTGGTTATTCCATTTCTGAGCCTAAAAAATGCATCGTACGAAAAGATGATGAGCGAATTATCGTAGAGCAAAAAGAACTCTATCGAGTGAATATTACACTTTTGGCCAGAAAGCAAAAAAATCTTTCGAAAAAAAAAGAAAAAGAAAAATGCTACGAACCTGTTCCTCAACCTAATAGTACTAATAGCGTTGCTATTCTCGATGTTACTGCGATATTTGACCTTGCTTTTTGCAGCGTATTATGTAAATAGATAAGCAAATATCCAGATGGGCACACACAGCCGAATTCTCTTCCCAAGTAATGTCCTCCCCTCCCCCCCCCCCTCTAGAAAGGTAGTAAACAAATGGAGCGCGCTAATGATATGGATCTCTGTCAGCGCCAATGCGATCATCATCATTGGGAATGTGCATTTAAGTGAGAGCTTTCATTCTTTCTTCCGTTTTTCGTGCCGTATAGCTGAACCAAAATGAGTGGAATACTCGATGAGCCTCATCCATCTGCTTTTTCCTTTCTTTTTTGTTGTTATCATATGATTTCCGAATGTGTAGTCGCTATTCGAGTTCCGTAGCATCCCGTACCTTTTTGCCAGAAATTTTTGGATAAGGATACATAATTTCATATTTTACAGCACAGGCCTTATGGATTGGCTGGAGAATGTTTTTGAAGAATATGGACGAGTTGTGCATCCACCATTGGTGCTAATCCTTTGTATATCCGGCTCACTAGGACATCTTGTCTCGATCGCCACTCTCTCATCAATGATGAACCCCACAAACGCTTTCCTCATCAGCATGTCATGGTATGTTGTCAGGAAATTTGAATCACTCTTTTTGAAAGGTATAAAGGATAAAGTCTTAATTAATCAATCCCTTTGTGGTATGCAGCACGCATTCGAATCGTAGTGGCTTATAGCGATGTGGCCTATACAATGACTTGCGGTGGCCAGCCGATGTACAAGTCAGTGTTTTATCCTCCCAGACGAATCTGGTACCAATTTACCGTCCCCGGGGGTAGAAGGCTTGGTTGGCCTGGGCGGGAGTCGACCCGGGATTCGAACCCGGCGCCGCGCGAGTGGTAAGCGTGCCACTTGTCACTACACTACCTCCGCCTTTGAAAGCCATAATGTACGGTGATTTGGTACTCGATCTGGAGTGGTAGCAGGATTGCTCCCTGCTGACTGGCCCCGCAGTTGCTGGTTATGGTGGTTAGATGCCTGGCTGGCCGTGCGGCTGGCTGCTGCGGTCGAGTATTTAATCGGCATCAGGGCATCTTAACCCTATATCCCGTTCCCGCGTGGAGCGGCTACTGCCACGCTACTGTAGCTGCAGACCCATCCCCCACATACGGCAATGGCTAGAATCCCCGAAGATGAAAGTACAGTGTCTTCAAGCTAGTTTGAGCGTGTTGCCGCGAGAGGGATGTCATGAGGCACATTAGAATTCGTGACCAGGGCACAGCATCGTGATGTGTGAAATGATTGTGTGTGGGTACCAGCCTCCCCTTCCCCAACACCTATCAACCTATTTCCCACATTTTCCAGTTTTTTTACCCGAAGATTTTCCGTCTCCGTCGAGCGGGGGGGGGGGAGGGAGTATATAGTACACATGAAGCAAGAAAAATCACGCGAAAAGTCAAAACCGTGTAAAATTTTTTCCCGAGCGCGACGAATTCCTCTTGGAGGCCCATACGGCCCTCCTCCCAACGACCAAATACGATCCCCATCACCAGCTCAAAGGTACCCCCCCCCTATGTGTTTCACACAATGATGCTTTACCCTGTTCATAACTCCGGCCGACTACTTCTACCTCAGACACTTGCTATAACATTGGGCAGCCTCGAAAAGTTACCATACCTGTACTCATAAAGAATCATAAAGAATCCTGGGATTCCTAGTATTACGACCCAAGCGGTTGCATAAACTAATGAATGATAGCCATCTCCATTAGTGTGCTGCCCTCATGTTAGTACATGAGCACAAATGGACGTTGCAATTTTTCATGCAATAGAAGGCGGCCTATTCGTACATCCAATATTCGTTATGAATTCACTTGAGGGATTCCTCAATGCTCAGGGTATGCATTTTTTTGCACTGCACTAAATGGAATTCGTAACGAACGGAATAGTGAAGATCTATTTCCACACTAAGAGCATCTACCGTTCGTTGAAAGTACACTTTAGCGGTAGAAGACTTTCAGAAGATGGCAGGTGATAGTTTGTTACTGACTCTTATCCCACCCCATTGGCAAGCACCACTAAACATTCACATTTCGACGAAACTCGAAGGTTTAGCGCTTGGTCCCATTCCGATTCTCTAGGTCCAGGAAAAAATAGAACGCGTTTACTCAATGAGAATCTGCCCTTCATACACATGAGCCACAACGAGTTCGCAGTTTGCTTGTAAGGATTACCAAAGAGACGCTCATCAACACTTACTGGTCATTATATCACCACCTATCACCAATCATTATCCCCCACTTAACCAACTTTATTGCTTGCTATACACCTCCCCCGTGTTGCTGCAACAGCGAATTTTTCGAGGTTTCCTCTCTGACGCTCCTTATCAGATCTTATCAATTGTTATCATTTTCTATACCTACCAAGACGTATCTACCAGTCGCACTACAGCACAGCTTAGGAACACGCACCACTAGTGCTGCTAAATGCGCCATCACTTCAGTGACGCTCCACTTCCAAAGCCCTTTATCAGCTGTTATCAGCTGTTACCACTGGTCACCGACCGTCAATGTACACATTCCACCCACGATTTCCTTTCTTGAAATCGACGCCCCACTGCTCCGTTATGAACCTTTGTCAGCCCTTATCAGTCGCTATCACCCTGGTGGCCAGCTATTGAAGTGTTCCCAACAAGATCACTTTTGTCCACCCCACGAGTCTGAACGTCTCTACGGCCTAACTATTAAGCGCGTTAGGAGACTTCCGCTGCGACCGAGTTTTAACATCTGCAATTTGTGGGCGTCGTACGCGAGCGCGCCACGAGCCGCTGCCTTGCTCTACTGGTGATGGAGCAATGATCGATGTAGGAAGAAGTCAGCCACTGGTGGGAAGTCCGCAGGTGGGAACCGCTGATTAAACCTGTCAGGTCGCGATGATGAGGACGTAACGCATGCATACACACACCACAATGAGCAAACACGCTCTATATATAGAAGGACCCTTTGCTCCGGAAATAGCCGATATCGGCTAATTGCTTCGTCACGTTAACATCAAATAAGTGCTGCATGGGTATGGCATAAAAGCTACCAAGGGAGAAGGCTGCAGGCAAAGGTATAGCGACTCTTCCGGGAAGCGTGAGTTCCGCGTTTGGGACTCCGTCCTACAGGGTAAGAGTGCTTACCCTTAGGTTTGCCCTTACCTCAGCAATCAGCACGATGACTGAGTCAATTTTCATCTCCCAACAATCCGCCTTTCTAAATCCGTCACGCGAAGGGAGAAGGCTGGTTAAGCCTGCCGAGTGTTGGTCGGATTTGAACTCTCAGACGGCTCTAGTGGGAAGCGTGCAACATGCCACTGCACCACCCTCGCTTTCCCTCCTTTGTTAGTTATAAAAATGAAACGAGTTCCGGAGGCTGCCCTTAAACTATGTTTGAGTCCCATTTTGGAGAGTCCTGCTGCAGCTTCGAGAGGATTCAGCTCATTCACTGGAAGGTTCGGCCAGGAAGCCGGGGATAGAGTGGTAGCAGACAAGACCGAGGAGGTCCCTGGCACGATGATGGCCAGCGGCTGGGCTCCATATTCTTTCTGACCTAGTCGGATGTTACCTGTGGAACACTAAAGGCATGCTGTATCATCTACACTCATGTCTGGATGATCTTTGAAGACAAACCTCATAATCCTGAGGCAGATTTCGTTACATTCCTTCTCTCCGCGATGATGGGCGCGCTGTTAGTGAGGCTGCCGGTTTGACATTGAGGCGGGGAAGCGACAACGCTTGGCAATATTTGGTGGCGACAATATGATACAGTCTTGTCCTTTGTCGAAAGAAAAAAGGAAAGAAACGTTCTGCCGCTGTGCCAAAGTTATTTCCCTAACACGCCCATTATTCGTCGGAACAAGACTGATCTGGCCTTTTAGCGGAAGCGGGCTCTCGTGATTTGTAGAAAGTGTACGGTCCCATTGCTGCTATCATTCTGGAAAGCGCTAATATTTTTGACTTACCACTGTACTATCCTTATGGTTAGCTATCAGTTTTAGGAATGTATAGCCAATATGCCAAAATGTTAATAGCAGCCGATGCACCAATCAGCTTCTACCGAAATGTTTCTCTATGACCGTTCTTATGTCTTCCCTTGCAGGCTTATGATCGATAGATTACTCAAAACTTCCCAAAAATAAAGCTTTCTCTAGAGTTAGTGCTCGGCACGGTAGTTTCGTTGCCATGTCCTTCTCAAGGGTACTAGGGTTGAATTATTCACTGAAGTCGAATATTAAATATTTTCTGAGTAGTCATTCGATGAAATGTGCCGTCAGGACATTGGAATGCGAATGAAGGGGGTATACATTGAAGCATCTACAAAAAACAGCTTCGCCTTGAATGCTCGTCGTGGTAAACTCATTAGAATGTCCCCTTCTTAGGCTGTCTGAGTCTAGATTATTCAGCAATTTCGAATTTGGAATGACTTCAGAGCAGCTCATTCAATTCGTAGAAAAAGGGAGCAGTACATCTGCAGTCTTGCGAAAGGAGCGAGTTACAGGCAATCTCGAGGAGGGTCCGAGGCGGGGCGGAGGATGGTAAGCTATGGTCTAGTGCGGAGGATAGTAGCTATAAGTGAGAGGATTGTAAAGCGGGAGATGAATAGCTCCATAATTGAGAGATTTGCCAGTATTGTGTGTTATGGTGTTCACAGCTGCATCCTAGAATGCTTGTTCTGGGGTCATTGTCTTGTTCTGAACCACATACTACTATTCTGAATGGAGGTTAAGTTCGTGGCGCATCGCATTCCTCATAAGAATTAAAATGACTGTGTGGCTAAACATGACTAGGTGTCTCAGTTTCATTCAAGCGTCGAGGAAGTGATGTTCTTAAAAAGCGTCCAGAATGTCTTCGTAGGATTAGGAATGTAAGGAAGCGTCCAGATGTCTTCGATGGGAATGTACGCAATAGCGTAGATGGGCCTGCTATAAGGGCTGGAGAATCTTCTGGGCTGTTTACTCGGAATAATGTCCCTATAGCGAAAGTATGACTCTTTTTTACGGGAAAGAAAAAATTTTCTCTCATTATCTCTCATATCCGTTCATACTGCCCCTATCAGAGCACGTCCTACGTTGGGAAACCCCCAGCGGGGGTTTCCCGGGGGGGGGGGGTCGTATTTGCTTAATGTCGGGAAGGGGTTGTTCGTTTTCGTCGCGCCTTGAAAGGAGAATTCGTCTCTTTTTCCGCGATTTTTCCCGTGTAGCTGGGGTTATATACCCCTCCGCCGCAGAATTTTGGGGAGAAACTGGAAAATTTGTTAGGGAAGTTCCGGGTAAAGTGGTAGAAAGCCAGGAAAAGTTGGCAAGAGAGGTAAGATAGTAGATAGGATGGGGAGGGATCGCAGCAGATGAGAAAGTTGGGCAGGGGTCGTATTTTTCGAAAATTCTCCCCAGCGGCATAACGTGCCCTGGACCCCATTGTACCATTTGGGTGCCTACTTCAGACTAGGTCTCGAGAATTTCTCATATTAATGTTGTGCAGAAGCCGCCATACTCCACTGAATTTCTTCAGTCCTTTTTGGATAGAATCTTCTTAGCGGTCACGTGTTTTCCTTGCCATCGGGTGTGGCAGTCAAACTTTGCAGGACGAGCTTATAAGCTGCGAAACACTGCGAGTCCCGTTTTCACGCTTCTTCTTCTAGTGGTGTAAGGTACAAAGCGCGAGTTAGTTACCTCACCCATCCGGAGCTGGACCCCTCCCTAGGCTCAAATGTGAAGGTTTTCGGAACCGCGTATAATAGATGAAGTTCCGCAGTAGTTTCAACTGCCTTGAGTGCACTGCACAACAATACCCATTTATATTAGACAAAACCGAACTCAAATCTTCTTTTTTCACTTCCTCTCTATATCTGGCATACCCAAGAGGCACAGCAATATATCCTAAAAACCCCTTATATCCTTCGTCATTTCTTTGAACTCACCGATATCGAGCCTTTTTCATTCTCACAATTAGCTGGAATATTGCCCTCTGGGGGATTTGGTGGATACGGTTTCGAAGGTCCTTTTTGAGACAAATGTTGACCTCGCTGATTTTAAATTGACTCTCGTTTTATTTATTGCATAGAGGAGAACTCTTGGATGTATGGTTTTTCTGCGGGAATCTTAAGAAGGTTGCTGCTCGGCGAGAGCACATAACATTTACAAAAAAAAACACTTGCGAGGAAATTGCGTAGTCTTTATGCCTGAGGCGTGTGTATATGGCCTCGTGCTGGGCTCACATTAGAGCGCTGGGAATGATAATGAGGAAAAACATCAAGCTTTTTTGAAAAACAAACCGAGATGCTACCGATTCCGCGGGACAGAAACTATAGAGTTTAGCTGGAGATTTCTGATTCAAAATTCCCGAAATGACAGTTAAATTATGGGTTCAGCTCATATTGGTGGGCTTATTGGACTGCATATTTTCCCTCGAATCACTTCCACTGACTGATTTCTTCCTACTGCGCCTTGAATTTCCGAGAAGAAAATCTCTTTCATACGGTTCTCAAAAGCATAGAAACATTCTATCGTCCACACGAAGGTCATATTTCATTCTTATCAGGGAACTCTGCCAACTTACTATGGAACTTCGAATGGAACCTTATAAACTCTATCGATCTATCTAGGTCTCCATTCAAGAGTTCGCATGTAAGACTGGCGGGGATTTCCTGGTTGATTGCTCTTAAGCAGTAACAGCTCTCTTATTACGAGGAAAAAAAACGGCAGAAATTTGATAACATATGTACCTAAGAGCAGCATTTCTAAGGATGGTGTCAGATTCCCAGAGAACGAATTGGTTTCCGGCCGAGGGATTTTGGTGCGATTCTGTTCTCTAAAACGTTGTTTCAGGTTACACACTTGCTGATTCAAATCTAGGGCACTTCTATCACACGCTGCTCCCATTACCCGGAAGTGGTTCAGGAGATCCTCGTTACAACATCGCGCGAAAAGTAGCGTTTTAGACGTCGACATCAAATCAGTCAGATCATAGCCGCCCGATTCCTCTACCGTTTATCCCCCCCCCCACCTTCCTCACAAGAATCATCGCCATTCCATCAACCACTGGGCATGGCAGGCCACCTAGCTGGGAACGCAAGCCGGCTAGCACGCGTTGCCACTACTCGGATCTCCTGACCCAGGCCCTCATCACTCCGATGTTAACTATTCGATATGATTTGCCACTCACTTAGTGGTGCTTTGGAATCGCTGGGCATGGGGGGGCAGCTACCAGTCTTACGGCACTATTTACCCTTTTCAGCCCCATTCATCCGAAAACAGGCTAGTTTTTGACCGACTTTTTACTCCGCGGGCAGAATTGTCTAAGAATTTGTCCCTGGAGTAAATGACCTCAAAATACCTTGAATCACCAAATTCGCTGAAAACTTGTTTTCAGTGGTAGTCTGATCACTTTTACTCGAATATCACACCGGCTACCGACCCAAAATCCCTGGCTCCTGCGCTACAGGCGCCGGCGCCAAAATACCCTCAATCACCGGCGCGTGGCAGGGGCGCTAAGAATTTTGATGGTGATGCGATATTGACATGTGACAGATGTGATATTCATGTTCAGGAGGTCAAACTACCCCAGAGGACAAATTTTTACTGTCAATTCTGCACACGGAGAAAAAAGTCGGTAAAAACTGGCCTGTTTTCGGGGGATAGGCGTTGCCCCGCTGGAGGTGAATTCCATCCTAGTAAATTAGATTTGCCATTATGGGAGGGCTAATCATACCATTAGTTAGAGTGTTTATTTTTCCACATCCGAATACTTTGCGACAACAGTCAATTTTTATAACTGGAGACCTATTGGAATATTCATGGCCGAACGTCATTGACTCGTACATAATTGGTCGCTTTACGTTTACTCCTCCATTGGATTGTGTCTAGGCTTACTCTTTACGGGCAGGAGACGCGAAGTAGGATAACGAGCGATTCGAAATTTCATGTGGCCTTAGCAGGGGGTCAATTTTGGTAGGTGGCCAAAAAAATTGGAAGGATAGTACGAAGCGGAGGAATATGGCGATCAAAAGAAAACCAGAATAATAGGGCGATCGAAAGAAAACCAGAGTAGCAGTCATGAACGTGAGAGCAAAGCCGCGAAAACCGCCTGAAGCTCAATCGAACAGGAAATGACTGAATGTGACCAAGTTGACGGTTTTTAAGAGGAAACTGATTCAATTTTTCGAGTAGTTTGTGAAAGCGGAGGACCGGCTATAGATGCTTTCTTGAGCTTTTACGGGGATTCGTAAGATTGCGTTCATACTTTGCAGCAGCGTCCACCAGCGACCAATAGCGTCCACCAGCGTCCCGAGCGTCTGACTTCGTCGGCGACTGGGAAAGTCGAGATATCGATCTAGCGTCTGCCAGCGTCTACCAGCGTCTGACAGCGTCCACAGCGAACAGCAGCGTCTCGAGGGCCAAGGAAGTATGGGTGTCGATCTAGCGTCTGCCAACGTTTGCCAGCGTACTCGCCCTAGGTTACCTGTGTAGCTCAAAAAACTGCTACCTTAGTTATGCATATAGGGTCACAGGGAACCGTCTAGATGAAAATGTAATGGTGGAGTCGATAATCTTCGTAATCTCCTCATTCATACTGGCAAGAAATCGTAGTGAAAGAGCCAGGACTGTCGCTTGCAGCCGTCCCCGTAGGGGCAGGCTGACACTGAATGGGAATCCTGTCTAAGCCATGCTCTCCATATAAAGTCGTTCTGTGCGCAAACCAAACCCGTCCCTTGCATTCTTCCGAAACTGTTTTGTTTGAAGTCAAAACTGGTTCGGATCCAAACATTTACGAAGTTTCCTTATAAAAGTCCTAAACAATTCATCGCTGAGCAGGGCATTTTGAGCTGACGAGGAAGTATGTAGCGCACCTCAGACGCCTTTGTAGGCAGTTGGTTCATTTTACGCATCAAGTTTTTGTACTCAAGCCAAACAGCTTATAGCCTTATGGACCAGAATTTCGTATATGGCTGCTTCTTGCTAGAAGGAAAGCAAAGACATTGCGTTGAACGTATATGGGCGGTTTCAGTGGCTAGCTAGGTGAGCGCGCTGATAGGGTGAACAGAACGCATCCGACTGACCGAACGACCGCAAAGTGGCCTGTTTGAAGTTATGTCGTACACTTTGTCCTCTGAAGAAGATATTGCGGGATATTCTCGAGTACTTGGTCTTTTCATGAAATATAGCGATTGTGGAGGCTCCCAAGACTGATGAAATAAGTGTAAAGAAAAAGTGACAAAAGAAACCTCCGACATTCTCCTAGTCCCTTGCCAACATATCTCATTCCAATTTCCTTGGAAGACACTGTATTAGAAGACTTCCATTAACGAATTGCTTGCCTTCCTGTGTATTCTCGGAAGTACAGGAGATATACTGAAGTAACTGAAAATTATGGCTTCTAGTGTCCATGTGTTATTAATATGACACCTCGTCCTTCCCTGAAGCCTTCACGTCATAAATTCTTGTAAAAGGGTCTGGCTAAAAGTTTACCGAGGTCTAAGTGCGATGTGGTCCGTAAATGCACTCGCTTATTAATTAAAAGCTGAATCTCTCAGCTCAATGGAAACACTCTGAGCACTATTTCAATGGATCCTGAAAGCGTGGAGTTAGAAGGAGCATTACACAATAGTCTAATCTGCTATAGTTCAACATGTGAATTGGCAGCGATATGTTGGCAAGGCCTACAGGTGCGTTAAGCCGTGTCAACGAGTGAAAATTGTGTCCGCAACCACTTGTCGCCACAGTCGCATAGACGCTGGTTTTCTTATCGCTTCATTTATGAAGTGAAAGTGAAACGAAGCGTTACTGATGTGCTGCCGTACCTTTCAATAGCGGTTTTTGGCGCGATGCCAAGCGGGAAAGTCGGGGCGCCCAAGAAAAGCTCGTCCAAGCAGGTGCAGAGGGCAAAGGTCTTCGGCAGGTTTTTGGGCCATATCGACTTCACATTTTTCTGCAGCGCTGTTACTTTTCCGGAAAACAAGAACAAAATTATCGGCCTTTTTCCCTTTGAGTAAGGCCACCAGTTACTGCCAAACGTAGAAGAACCATAGGGGCAGCAGTATAAATATTCGAAAGGGGAAGAAAAATAAAAGAAGTTGAGGGAATATCAAGTCAGTTCATCGGTTTTGCCTTCAAGCGGAAAAAGATCCTTGACTGGATGTAGCAGCCTAGAGTATTTTTACTCACGCCATTGCTCGATGGCTCGGCCGCAATAATTCCCGTCGCTGCAATCCTCGTATTAGTGGCAAAATGGCTCATATGTTGCCCTTTCAACAGCAGAAACTTCCTTGCAGCGGTGTATACCTATTAAGGACACTCCGGTGCGTTCAGCGCTTGCAAATTAGCATTCCTACTTGAAATGCAGAATATAATAGCATGGCGGATGCGAGGAAAAGGAAACAATCGTGTTGCGGAAGTTTGTCAATCTTTATCCTCCCTAAATACCAACGAAATCAGGAAATCCAGGCTTCATACGCCTCATACTGCATACAGTATACCAGCGCTTGTAATGTGCTTGAGAAGCGAGGACCGTGTTCCCATGAGCTTCACTGAAGACTTTTAAAGGAGCGAGGCTCCATCTTGACGGAACCCCTCTCATTCTATAGCTCTCCCTCCTTTCATTTGTTGTAGTACCATGGCTGGGTGAGTGTGGAAATGATGGAAAGAAAGACAATGATGTTACATAGGTGTAGTTGAACTGTGCGATGTGAATCGACTTGTTTGCTGTCGCCAACACTAAAACCGTTCACAGCAGACCTCTGCCACGGATTTCCACCTCACGAGGCGTTTTTTCTTCGATGAATTAGCTGGGCGAATGGGTATAACAAAAAAAACACCGTGTGAACATTTCGCGCCCCTTTTTCCGCCTTATGGATAGGATATGAGGCCATGGGCTGCTAGAATTTCCTGTCGTAAAGCAGGATGGAAGGGGCCGCCCAGGGATGGGAACGTCGCAGACATTAAGATTCTACGCAAGCTTGGGACGCGAGAACACAGCGTGCTAGTTGACGGAATCTCATTTACTGTAGAAGCTCACTTTGTGGCAGTAAAGAGTTGGTTCACGAGTACGAAGGCACGTTTTTAGACACGAATGAAGCATGTCGAGGGCTGCGGGACGCTCTACAGTCGCGCCAAAATCGGAGGTTCAAGAAACTCAGCGTACGCGGTCAACAAAATCTCTTCTTACTTGATGACAGCCCCCTCCTATCCGGACGCTGCCATCGGGATCTACTATGTTCATACCGATTTTTCTCACCACTACTCCAATTTTCGAAATTTCCCAGACAGCAGAGCTCGGAAAAAGATTTTCTAAAGTCTAGATACGGTCCCCGCAGATCGAGTACGACGCCCCCACTCTTCTAACGTCCACTACCCCTTGATGGAATTCCCTCCAGGCGCGAGCGAGCCGAGTTTGCGGGTGAGACATGCACATCACAATCATGTTCCATTTCCATTCTATACATCAGTGGAAACAACAGATTCGTGTACGTGAAGGCAAATGACTTGAGTGCATTTGGAATATTCATTACATCCACTGAATGCGTTTCATCCTGCTCCTTTACCAATTGGGATTGGCCAGTACTAATTGGGGCCGTAAAAGTCTCCACCGAGAGTAGTTGTTCCCGAACTGATCTCCTAACCCCAGTAATCGCTTGAATAAAAACACGTCCCTGTTGCCCGTGGGCGATAAACGAACAAGGCAATGAACTAGCAGACAGGACAGAGGCGAAAACTCAGCGGATTGCTTGTGCTGCCAGCGAGAACGCCACAAACCATTTTGGATGATTGTGTTTATGGCTTAGATGATCTTTAGGCAAGTATGACATTCCATCAAAATCTGGCAGTGGGACTAATGCAAATGCGTTTTTTGCAACCCCTAACCCTACAGAATTAGGTTGTTCAACGGAGTCGAACTGTCGCATGGCAGGCTGGCAGGTTTACCCCGGCGAATGAACGTTGACGCGTGTTCGTTAAAGGCAGTTGCAGGCGCAGCCTACTTGCCTAAAATGCGAGTAGGGTGCTGCATAGGGGCGAAAGAACGGTGAAACGGTCCAAACTCCACGCGAAAGAAAAGACGAGTTCCCGTAGGCATCTTGCCAATCACCGCTACCGAAGATACGGCTGCATATGTGTACCCATGTATGCATGCAGCATTCATACCAATCCCTTCGCTTCATAATTTGCTTAGCAAATGAATGAATACGAGCGTCAGGAACGGTCGTCCATTTGTGGGCGGGCGGGCGTTTGGGACGTAAAGTTGTGGCTTGATAGGGCCCTTATAAGGGCACCTTCCTCGGGGAAACCGCTATGCCCAGGGTCGCGGAATTCTATCCTGCCAGGAGTATTGATCCTAGTCGTCTTGGGGGATTATCGTGCCAACTGCCTTTAAATACCCTCAAGGACAAAGTTGTAACAAAATGAACCCTGGTCTGTTCCAAGAGAAGTAAGACCGCATTTCAAAAGCCGGTACAGTGGAGGTGAGCAATGCCGATGATACATCTTACTGAAAACCAATTTTATGCTTCTATTCTTGTTTACGAATCATTTTTCCGTCTGACTGATTTCCTATGATTAGAAAAAGACGTGTTCACGCTTCAATCAATCGCTCCTTTTTCGGAGTAGGGCCTGAGCCATTAGCTGCGATCACGTTAACAACAAAAGAAATCTCAGCACTCAAAAAGGTTCCAGCGAGGAAAAATACCAAAAAATATACTCTGAGAATACTGTAACAAGCTAGTGATTATCCAAGCACCCGCTTTCTTCATTTACCCTTTCTGCTGGACTCTTGGATTTGGCCGGGTGGCCAGCATAATTTGCATTTTTGTCGCGAACGTCAGCAAACCTTAGCTTATCCTGGAATCCGCCTTCAGGAAAAAGTGGGGGGGGGGGTAGACACCTCCGATCAACAATCGGGAATAATTGTTTCACATGCGATACTTCTGATGGGATACAGCTCAATTGCAGATGGAGTAACGAGAAACAAACAAGTGAACCATAGCATTCGGTGGGAGACCGCAGTGTAGACGAAGCTGGAGGAGTGATTTACTCCAGTACCGCCAGGGATATCTTTCAGAGGCTGGAGGTGAGGGAGTAATACGGGAAATCGTGGGCAGATTGTGGATGTTGCAAATGCTATAGGCCTACTTGAGCTTGGCGATGATGATGGCTGCCTTCACCTTCTCGCGTTTGTGGAAACAGTAATGAACGGCCTGTAATCCTGTGCGAAGTAAACGTTGAACGTGCTCATACAATCCGCCTGTCTCCCATGTGTAAACCGGATTTCCGTCTCACTCCTGGTAAAGTGGAGAGTAACCTACTTGTTGATTTCATTAATTTAAATAGAAAGGCAAACAGTGTTTGCAAAATGTCGAAGAAGACGGGAAATTGGGAATGCAATGAACTTTGCGAAAGAATCAATATATCGATTTTCGGTTCACAGTTAGCTTTGGTCAACTTGTCGCCTTCAGCTCGCAAATAGCTTTAATCAATATATCGATTTTCAGCTCACAATTAGCTCTATGTGCCAACTTTCTTTATTCGACGTTCTTCAAATGGGCTTCGGATGAATTGTGTTATCCATTCTTCTTCTCCTATTATATGGCGAAAACGATGCACATCTCAGTCACGCTTTCCGTGTTGGTGCACATGGCTGGGGTACGTATTGATTATTTATATTGATCTTTGCTTGATTGCCTTCTATCCAGACCACAGTGTCATCTTGTTTTACTTTCCCCTCTAGAACTGTTTCCTTATCTGAACAAGTGTCGCAGTGATTTAAATCGGTGGAATGACTTTCTCAGTGCTCTTACTGAATGCATAGTAACAATATGAAACTATAAAGATTCATTTCAAAAGAACAGAAGGCATGAAACTCTCGAAAATTTTTCAAAAACTATATATTTTGAAAAAAGAAGTCACATAATTTCAGGCCTGGCAGATGTGCTACCCACCGAAATATTGCAAGATAAGATATTTTTAAAAACTATCTAAATAATTTCAGGCTGGACAGAGGTGCTACGCACCGAAATACTGCAAGATAGGATATATAAAAGAACTTTCGAGACTCTTGGTGTCTTTTGAGTTGCTTTTTTTTAAATAATTTTTTGGAGTTTCTTATTGCTGCACACATTCAGATAAAAAAATGAGAGTCCGGGACAGCACAATGCTCCAATACACTTTCTGTTAACCCGTCTAATAGAAAACAAGCTCCGCACTGCCTGAAGTGTTCTTGACCTGATTATGTATATTTTGTGTACTATTATTTACTGCATTGCAGATTATGAATATTAATTACTGTATTTCGTTACTAGTAGTGTGTGCTCTCTTCTTTTAAATTTTCCCCAGCGCAGCTTTTTCCAGAACACGGACGTGGGCCAGTCTCGCATAGTTCAACCCACTGTTGACACTCACTTCATATCCGGAAGGTGGAGAGGGCATGGCTGGGTCCTTCTTCTGAACTTCTGGCCTAGGTGGCGTTCTTCCTGAGATAATTCCATATGAGACAACTGTAATACCTGTCTCGTAATGGACCAAAATATGATTACGTTGGTCTATAAACGAGAAGATGCCCTTTAAATCACAGTGGCCATCAAGTTCAAATGAAGCAGCAGCCACGCCCTCTCCATCTCCGCGTTATGGAGTGTGTATAGATGACGAACATTTCACATACTGCTTGTTGAACGTCACACAAAGTGATATTGCTATTGTGAGCTGGCCGTTCCGCGACCGCTCACTCATACCAAAGAATAGTTGCCCAGCCAGTTGCATAACAACAGTGAGATAACTAATATATTCCTTTCCAGGTATTTCACGTCGTGGCGCTATCTATAATCCGATATTGCTCGCTGTCTGCCTTGGCAAACATCAACTCCTCACAGCAATGGTTCACTTATCAGGTAAAATTAAGTGCTAATTGGTTTTTTTTGTGAAAACCTTGTAGGACGGGGTGATGGTGAGATTACTAATATATCAGGCCGCTTATCTCGCTCGTGTTTCGGGTCAAATAAGGGCCCGATGTGTGTTGGGACAACCAAGCCTTCTATCCGTTTGGAACGCGAAAATTGAACTCCTGGAATAATGAAACCACTGGCTCGTATTCACATCGGTTCCCATCCACAAGTCATTGTATAGGCCATATAGCGTCCAAAATAATACTGTATGGGAAGAGTGTTTGCGGCGTGTCCCGGAGAAGGAAGTTTCAACGCCAAAAGGTATACTCGAAATCCCTGAGATGAGGTGGGCGTGGCTGCGTACGACACCTAAACGTCTCTGTGGTTGTGCTTCTGGTGAAATATTTTCATTTCGAGACAACTATGGTCATGTCTTTATCCAACTCAGAACAAGATGACAGTTGTCTCAAAGTGAAATATCCTACGAGTAACCCGTTCTATGTCCATGTTCAAAAGCCACGCCTACTCCGTCTCAGGGATAAGGAGTGTACTACTTTTCATGTTCAAGGTGACTGTGCACCTGTAGCAGTAGATATCCCACAAGTACGAGCAGTTCGTGATAGTTTGGTAAACGCCTACGTATACGCCTTTCCTTGCGGGGAAGTAGACAATATTTTTTCCTGGAACTGATAAGTAACGAGGGTATGAGAAACACTCCAATGAATCACCAACTAAGCAATTAGGTGAGAATTTCTCACATGTTCGTTTTTGAACGCACCTTGTATGACTCAAGCATCACGGGAAAGCGAATACTCGTTTTTTGAACGCACCTTGCTGCAATGACTCATCGCATCAACGGGAAAAGCGCGAATTAAAGGTGTGACTCATGCCTAGAGCAAGACCCAGGAACCATTGCAACATTGCCCACGCACCCTTTGGTCTTCGGGTGTTCACAAAGGCAATTCACTGAATACACAGCATAGCTCGCAGTACTGCGCAGCTCTTCAGCATTTTTTCAAGAGAAACTGTATACTCGCCTGCAATGACGGTCCATGCCACGTTCGAGGTGAACGGGTTCGCTGCTGCATCAGCGGGCTCCTTTCTCCGCTCAAAAGTGCACGGTGACAGTACTCCAGTAGTGGTTTCCCGACACTCCGCCCGTGTTATCTTCAGGGTACAGCACTTGTGTAGATACCAGGGTCCGCAGCGAGCACACACTTGGCGACGGAGAACAACTGGAAGTGAGAGACAACTAGAGCGTTTGGCTACAGTTAGTCGTGTGAACCGTGCTACAATTCGGCGGATGGAGACGGCACCCAGGGCTACTCCTAAGCTTCACTGCTGTCCACCGGATAACATGGCATGCTACTACAGCTGCAAAGCTATTTTCTCCCTACACGGCAAGGACTAGGATCTGCGAGGGCGAGTTAAAATTTGCTTTGAGGCCTGCCAATTGTTTCAAAATGCGATTTACCTCCTTCTCCTTACATTGTTGCACAACAAATTACAAGAAAGTGAGTTACTGGAATTCCCTTGAAATTCCCTTTTTAGAAATTCCGGATTTCATTGGTGATCATATTCGTGAGTGTCGCTATCATCGGCATCCCCCTTCACTTCACATCAGAAGTGGTGATGGTGAGTGAAATTTCAACGTTTTTAAGTCTCACCTTCATACCAAAACTATATATACCTCTATTAGGGACGAAACTTGGTACATACCTAATCGTGTTCAAATGCTAAACTGTGCCTGCGATTTTTCTTGGTTTCCAATGAGTAATTCGTAAGGCAGCGTTCATACTTCGCGACAGCAGCGGCGATCGCCGCGATCGTCGGTACGCGTCAGAGCGCGCCCCAACGCTATTACTTGGACCGCTCGCTTTGATAAATAAGGAAATCCAACTTGTGAGACTTTTTTCTCTTAATAATGGCTGCTAGCTGAAAACTTCTGTACCTTAGAGGGCCTGAAATATGAGGGAGTGGGACATTTTTTTGAGGTCGGGATAAGGGCAGCTTCATTTCCTAGGTGAGCTTCTTTTTGTTTCTTTTGTTTTCATTGTTTCAGTTTATATGAAGTGTCTCAAAAGTTCCATATTGGCTATACTGTTCCAACTTCCAAAACTATAGTTTGCCAGTCGTGATCAAACAACGAAAAAAAGATAAAGAAACCCCGTAGGAATCGGAACCTTAATTCTTTAATGCAACATCATGGAGGAAGAAGAAACGCTCATGCTAACAGTACAAGCTCGTAGTATGGACAAGAAACAGTAAAAACTAGGAAAAGCAAAGCCACGCTTTTCAGGGCTCCACCTTTCTTTAGGTGAAACAAGTTTTAGTATTTTGAGTCAGAGAAGAAAAAGCACGAAATTGCACCATTCTACTTGATAAGGCATCCGGAAACGCTCGTATCGAGATAGCGTTGAGCGCGCGCTGTGTCGTGCGTACGACGATCGCTGGCTACAGTCGCGAAGTATAACGCTGTGAGGCAGTTGGCAGATAATATCGCTATACAGAATTAGAATTAGTTACGACTGGTCTTTACAGAAGTTCCGTGACCTCGGACAGGCGCTTCCTTGACGCCTTTTCGAGGACGGGTCCCTGAAAAGCGTCTATTCGAGCAACAACCATTCGTCGCCAAACGCTTTCTTCGAACGCCCGCCCACAAACGGACGACCGTTCTGACGCTCATTTCATTCAGCTAGCAAATTATGAAGCGAAGGGATTGGTATGAAGCGGCCGTGATGCTGCATGCATACATGGGTACACATATGCAGCCGTATCTTCGGTAGCGGTGATTGGTAAGATGCCTACGGGAAACTCGTCCGAAATCGATTTACAAGTCACTGAGAACGGAGGCTTTTTCTTCGCAGGATTTTGACTCCGTTCTTTCGCCATTTCCCCACTATATAGCGCCCTACTAGCATTTTAGGCTAGTAGGAAACCATCGTGCCAACTGCCTTTAGCCTGGTCTTATCGCAGTTAACGCTGATGTTTGTAAGGACGTTACCGTTAGATTATAATGATCCCTTAGTTCTTAGGACCAGTGTACAGCATCGCTGAGATAATCCTATCAGGGGTCGTGTCTGGTTTAACAGAATTTTTCGAATTTCTAGAGAGAGCTGTTGACGTTTCGCGGTATTCCCGTTTTATCTGGGTTATCCAACCTAATGGACGGCGCGACAAAGTACTCTTATTTTGGCGGCCACAATTTTCATTTGTTGAAATTAATAATTCTTTGGTGACAACCTCATCCACCCTCCCCCTCCCCTTCCCACCCACCCGACGACTAAATTTTGCAGAAAGACTGGAAAATTTTTCGGAATACTGGAGAAACTGACACGCTCTCAGTGTATCTCATCTGTTCGATTTCCGGCTGCTGAATGTTCTTTTCAAATGAGTTTGGTTTTGGAGGTCTTTGACCTTTAAAAAAAATGGCACCTTTATCATTTTTTCTGCACGTTCGTAGCCATTTTGTGTTGTAATGTGTTACCATTACTATTACTCGCTCATTGTCAGGTCGAGGAGAACGAAGGATGTGCTCGTCGTCACCCTGCGCTACGAAATGCTACAGCATTCCAACTACAATTTTCGTCATTTCCTTACCTACAAACGCTTAATTTTTGGTTGTTCAATTTATGCTCAAAGATCATTCCATCGGTGAGAACGAAGATTAATTAACTTCCTTATTTGCCAATCAAACTGCTCATAAATTAAGCGTTTAAGGTGATTTTGTGCGTGATGACGTTTATGATTCTTGCCAAGCTAAAGGCGATCCAACAGCTGAGCGCACGATTTACGAGCGAACAACGTGACAAACAGTACCATAGGACCACGAATATGATTCTGGTGAGTGTGACCAAAATATCCTTCAGAAAAGGACCGGAGCAGGTTTTCCAGACCGAGTCCTGAGACTGGAGCATTTCCGCTTGA